ATTATTTTGTTGGAATTGCTCTCAGACCATATTATACACACACATATATATATGTATGCATATACACATATACAGTTGACCTTTAAATAGCATGGGTTTGAACTGCATGGGTCCACTTATATGTGGATTTTCTTCCGCCTCTGCCACCCCTGAGACAGCAAAACCGACCCTTCCATTCCTCAGCCCGCTCAACATAGAAACAATGAAAATGGAAACCTTTATGATGATCCACTTCCAGTTAATGGAATAGTAAATATATTTTTTCTTTCTTATGATTTTGTTAATAACATTTCCTTTCATCTAGCTTACTTTATTATAAGAATACAGTATATGATACATATATGAAATATGTATTAATAGACAATGTTATCAGTGAGGCTTCTTATTAACAGTAGGCTATTAGTAGTTAAATTTGGGGAGAGTCAAAAATTATATGCAGATTTTCAACTGTGGGGGCTTAGTGCCCCAGTCCCCTTCTTTTTCAAGGGTTAACTATTTTACTTTTTAAATTTGGTTTTACTTATATCGAAACTATATTGTTATTTTAATCAGTCATAAAATTGGGTTATTGTTCTTTAAATCAGTTATATATAGTCTACAGACTTATTATAGAAAACAGAAGTCCTATAACATCCCTCTCCCTCATCATTTCCTACTCTAGGGACTCATTTTCATTTTGTTATCAATTTGTTTTTCTTTGTATTTACCTTCATATCTATAACATGCTTTTATTTAATTTGCAATATTTTGATGTTTTAGTTTTAGACATTCTACTTTGCATTATGGAAACTGATGATTTAAATTCTTTTCACACATTCTCTGCTTGCCTTCAAAACATATGCATGTCTATTTTGTGTCTTTCAATCCTCCAAATATAGGTATATCACAATTTTGGTTTGTATTGTTATAATTATGTAAAAAGTATTTGTAGCTGAGACATGTGGTGGATATAGCACATATATAATAACTATGGTTTTTTTTCTTAAAAGACTTTTGCTTGAGCTAGTAATTATTTTCTCTCCTTTGTATAGTTTTATAGTTTATTTTTGTTTTTGATTAGCTTAACTCAAGTCTTTCCTGAGTTGTTTAAATCATTGTTTCAAAGTTTAATGTTACAAATCCCTTTTTTTCCTGCCTAAGTGCCTAAAATGTTTTTTACTTATTTTTAAAATATGGTAATTTTACTAGACTATGTCCTGAAGTTGTTTTTTATGGCTTGGTATTCTAGGTACAATGTGTTGTCTTTCATTTGTAGTTTCTAATCTTTTTTCACATTTCAGCAAAGTTTCCTGAACTGTGGTATTTAAAATTAATTTTCTTCCTTTGCCTTAGTTTTCTTTATTAGGAACTACTGTTATAGTATTTTGTATCTTTTTGCCTGTTCAGTATTTGTTATTGTATTTCCATTTTAAAATCTTTTTAAATTTATTTTGTTTAAAAATATTCTTCCTTTTGTTCTTCTATTTCTTTTAAGGTATTTTCTGTTGTATTATTTACTGTTTTGTTTTTTTAAATTTACATTCATTTCTGAAATGATTTCCTTTATGTGTACTTCTTTCCTGATTTATACCATCTCACTTCTGTGGTTTTCTAATTTTGATTTATGTAGTTCTTCAGTATGTTGCATTACTTTCTTAATTTTTAAATAAATTATGATTTTGTTCTATTTTGCTAACATGTCTTTTGTCTGCTGTCATTATAAGGTTTTAAAAAATCTTTTGCTTATTATTATTTTTTATAAACAAGAACTTAGTATGAGATTTGACCTTAATCTTTTTCTTTGCTCATTTAAAAAACTGAATTAAAATTAATTCTTTTTTTTTTCTTTTAGAAGAAAGAGTGATTCAGGGTAACTTTTTAACTTCAAAGAACTCCTTTGTGCCTTGTTCAAAGTGTGGTGGCTTGCTTTCTGGGATTTTCTGCCTCTGTTCTATTTCACTTTTATTTGCCCATTTTTTTCCTGGAGTTTTTATTTTTTATTTATTTATTTTTTTCTCCTGCTCAATTTTTATTCTATTCCTTGTAGTTCCACCTAGTCTCCTGAGCTTGATTCTACATAGGACCCCATCTTCACACTTCATTGTAAATCTTTTGAACTCACTTGCTATTGGAATGAGCAAGCCCCCTCCTCCTACTTTCAGCTAATTTTTCTCCAGTCTACTGTGCTTCCTAGTGTGTGCATATTGGCTATACAGAGATTCTCTTGCTAAGTCCTTTAGATCCTCCCTTACTTCCTTCGGCTTGTGAAGTGCCCATCTTTTGCCTATTTTTCTATTTGGGATGTTTGTTCCTTTCTTGATAATTTGTAGAAATTCCTTACATTTTCTAGTTATAAGCCCTTTGTCAGTTATATGTTGCAAGTATCTTTTCCCACTCTGTGCCTTGCATTTTTAATCTACTAATGGTTTTTACTCTTTTTTTTTTTTTTTTTTTTTTGAGACAGAGTCTCACTCTGTTGCCCAGGCTAGAGTACCATGGTGTCAGCCTAGCTCACAGCAACCTCAAACTCCTGGGCTCAAGTGATCCTCTTGCCTCAGCCTCCAGAGTAGCTGGGACTATATATTTTAGTTGTCCAGCTAATTTCTTTCTATGTTTTTTTAGTAGAGACAGGGTCAGGCTAGTCTTGAACTCCTGAGCTCAAACGATCCACCCGCCTTGGCCTCCCAGAGTGCTAGGATTAAAGGCATGAGCCACCACGCCCAGATGGTTTTTACTCTTTTGATGAACAAGTTATTTTTAATATGATTCAACTTATTAATGTAGTTTTATTAATCTTTTTCTTTGTGCTTGCTGCTTTTATTGTCATTCTTAAGAAATCTTTGCCTACCCCAAGTTATGAAGATATTCTAGATTATCTTTAAGAAGCATTACTCCTTTTCTTTTTTCATTTTGATTTACAGTCTGCCTGGATTTTATTTTTATGTATGATATGAAGTAGGGATAAAATTTGTTTTATTCATATGTATATCTAATTGAGCAATACCATTTGTGGAAAAAACTTATTCTCATTGCTTTGTAGTATTTACTTTGTCATAAATTAGGTGCCTACCTACATGTTGATTTTTTTTTTTCTAGATTGTGTTCTGTTTCATGGGTCTATTTGTCCTTCCTTAAATAAATATTGTGTTTTCTTAATTACTATAGCTTAAGTTTTGCTATCTGGTAGTTTAAGTCTGTATAGGTTTGTTCTTTTTGAAGATTGCCTTAGCTATTCTTTGCACAATGAAGTGTCTCAAGTGTACTAATCTTAATCTTATAAGTACACTTCAGTGACTATTGACATTTGTATATAACCATGTAGCCAACACTCACCTAAATATAAAACATTTCCAGCATCCATAATGGTTCCTTTGTGCCCTGACCAGTCAGTACCTCCCCCCAAGATAATTACCATTCTGACTTTTATCAGCATTGATTAATTTTGTCTATTCTTGGACTTCATGTAAGTGAAATCACATAATATGAATTTCTTTGAATTTCTTTTTTTTACTAAAGCTAGTGTCTGTGAGAGTCATCTATGTTGTTGTGTCTTTTTACTGCTCTTTAGTATTCCATTGTATGAATATACTACAATTCATTTTTCTATTAAGAAGGATTGTTTTTAATTTTGAATTATTATGAATAAAACTATTGTGAATATTTTTACAAATATCTTTGGGCAAACATATATACTCAGTTCTTCCATCCAAGTACTAACCAGGCCTGACCCTGCTTAGCTTCGGAGATAAGATCAGATGTGTTCAGGGTGGTATGGTCATAGACTCAGTTCTCTTGGTATATTCTTAAGAGTAGAATTTCTGGATCATAAGGTAGATGTATACCTGGTTTTAGTTGATACTGATGAACCAGTTTCCTCAAAATAACTGTACCAGTCTTAGTTAATTTTGAGTATTCAACATTGTATGTGAAAAATTATAGAAATAATTAGAGGGATAGCATTTTGCTATCTTTCTCCCCTTTGTTTGCTTTTTATTTGTCTTTGCTAGGCTGCTAGTAGGACTAGCAATCCTTGAGCATGTCAATCTAATGTGAGAGATTGTGATGATTTAAAGCTGGGTTTCACCTTTTATAAGGACCAGGTTCTTCTCAGTTCATCCTTACTGCTATGAAATGTCTTTAGGGGGCCCTATCCAAAGTGAGGAAACTTTATAAAGGCTTTCCCTTCTTGTTAGACCATGCAGTCATATTTTGCTTCAAAGTCTATGAGACTGTAAAAATTTCAGCTAAGCTAAGGTCTTTAATTTGCATTTTCTGGAATTAGCCGATGCTCTTAGAGAGAAAGTAGCTCTAGTGTCTGTTTCTGGTTAATCTCCCTGGCTTTTCCTTCTTCTTCCAGATTTTAGCTCTGTAATTCATCACTTCCTTGTTAGCTTCTTTGTGCATACAATCAGATTTGAAAAAAATAATTTGTCCAGAATTTCTTAGTCTTTTCATTAGAACGGTTGATCTGCATTTTGCATATTGCCATTATAGAAGCAGAAATCTGTTCCCCATTAATATATTTTCACCTTCATCCTTTCTCTCTTTACTCTTCCATCCTTCTTTACCCCCATTATATCTGTTTCATTATTCTAAATTTCTATCAGTGGACTGCACAGTTAATCATTACAGCTTTCTAAAATCCATTTATATATTACATATAGGTATGTATGTAATACACATAAAAATATGTGTTAATTGATTTATGTTATTGGTAATACTTCTCATCAGTAGTAGGCTATTAGTAGTTAAATTTTGGGGGGAGACCAAAGTTATATGTGATTTTTTATTGTGCCAGGGGTTGGTGCCCCAACCTCTGCATTGTTCAAGGGTCAACTATACCTAGCTATATGCACTGCATAATTTATATTTATAAAAACATACATACTATACTAAGATATAAACATATATGTAGTCTACCCAGGGATTTCTTTGGCTTTTAGATACGCCTGTGGTAAAATAACTAGTTTTTGTTTGTTATTGATTTGATTATTTAAGGAAATTTTTCTTTAAATTTTCAGATGATACAGCAGTGTTCGAGTTGATACAACTAGTTCCACCAGGTACTATACTATATATTGATAAAGTAATTGACATGGAAACTCATTTCAATGAAGTGTTTTTAAAAACAATCTCATCTTTTACTCCTCTTCCCAAATTTAGAACAATGTTGAGTTTCTGCCATTAGTCCGCTATGTGTAAAATGTCAAAATAATATATACAAAAGATTGGCATAAATAGCACTTCAACACATTGTTCTAATTGAATAATTGTAATAATTGAAAGTGAAAAATAACCTGTTATCATTCTAGGATGTTTTTGACAGTCATAAAAATTCACTTTTAAGTTTTTGTGATTTTTTAAAAACTACATACATTTTATTAATAGTTATCTTTGATTTTGCATGTTGACTATTATAAAACTTTATATAGTAAACATTAGAGATCTCTGGAGAAGGTAGAGTTGAAATATAGAGGCTAGCTTTATTTCTGATGTTAATTTCTGTGATTTAGAAGATATCTGTCTTAAATTTTTATTTTATGTGAAAAATGGAAGCTATATTTTATTAAATGCTAGTAATCTGAAAATTCTAAATATTACTTATATACCTAATTCAGATAGCCACAAATTTTAGAACATGTCTCAATTATTTTCAACATGTAATCTAATATCTTACAATGGTAGGTAGATAAAAGTGGTAGATAGAAAAAAGTTGTGGAGATAGTAATTTATGTGTAACTCTCATCCCAACTTCATATTTTTAAGGAACTTTTTTTTTTCTGGGAACTCATAGATTCTCAATGAGTTTACATGAAAATCCCATTTTCCAAAAGAGGGAGGAGGGAATTACTAATAGGTGGCATATTTCTGAAAAAGGAAATGTGTTAATCCATTTAACATATCTTTATTTTAGTTTTCCTCTCCTAGAAAACATGACCTTAAGCAGGTATTTTATAAGGCATCAGGCAATCAATATTTCATACTTGATGATTTTGTTTCTAAAGAGAATATTTTGTCATAATTTGAATCATAGGATATTTTTCTTGTAGTGGGTGAAACCCTGTCTACATATGATGAAAATACACGAGATTTCATGTTCCCGGGTCCAAACCAAATTTCTGGACACCATGATTCAAACCGCCAAGTTACCATGAGGAGGATTTCTGGCCTTCGAGTAAGTGTTTACTATTTTCTGAATCAATTTTTGGTGGAGGATCATCGTCAGAAATCACCACATAGCTCTCAACACGTTAAATGTGAAGAACTAATTCAAAATAAAGTTTGGTTTGAAACTTATTTGTTTTGTAAAATTATGTTATTTTACATACTGAAATCTAAATGAAAATAATTTAACAAAACCCATGCATGTACCGTTCGAAATTAAAAAGTGTTATTTTACCTTATATTCTTCAAATCTCTCTCTTCTCCTTCTTTCTGCCCCTCACCCAATTACTATCTCCTCTATCTCTCTTTCTCTTTCTTCTCTTTTTCTCTGTAAGGAATGGTAACATTTGAAAAGATACTCAATCTTATTAACATTTAAGGAAATCCAAATTAAAACAGCCATATGATTTCATTTTTATAGCTATAAGATGGGCAAAATTTATTTACTGACAATATCAAAAGTGTAAAAAATCGGAAACTCTCATATGCTGCTATTCCATGTAGATTGGGACAATCACAATTCAGAAATATCTAGTAAAGGCAAAGATTCTCATGGCATATGATCTTCTAGGTATGTATGTTAGAGATGTATTTCTTTGGTGTACTAATAGTCTTATTAAAAATATTCATTTGTAGTATTGTTCAGAATAGTGAAAAATGGAAATTGAAATGTCAATTAGTAGAGTTTGGATAGATTAATTGTAAAATGTTCATGGAATGGAAATATATATTCATACACCTAAAATTAAAAGCCGCATTAAATGATAGCTCCACCTTTTCCTATAACTTCCTTCAGTTTCTGTTGGGTGATTTAAAAATATTTTTATCCCTGAAAGGAAATCTTCCATGCAGAGAAACTGTGAGAAGCCCAGGCTGTTTCAAAGGCGGAAAAGCAAAACTTGAAATTATTTGGACTAACTTTTTTTTTACTAATTTTATGAAATAGTAGAGTAGTCAGATTAAGGACAGTGGGTTGGTTGATTTATGAACAAATATAATGAATTAAGTAATTTCACCTGTAGCTCTAGTTTTGATATGCTGTATCTAAAGAAATAGCAACTTTACCTTATTGAACATATAAAAGTTGACTAGTAAGTCTATGAAAATATGCCTCCTTTGGGATATATTCATTGTCCATTAGCCAGCTTCTGTACTATAAAAGTCTTCAGACTATTTAAAAAAAAGTGTGGAAACATGAAAAAAATCATATTTTAAAATTATGGTCTCTTTAAAGTAATTTAAAATTCTGTATTATACCAAGATGGAACTATAAACTTAAGAGTATGGACCATTAACAGGGATTTATCTTTCATCATTTAAGTCACTTTTGCTTATATTTGGAAGATGTCAGATTGCTAAGGCAAAAAATACATAAAAATTAGTACTTCTAAGAATGGCAGTGTTGTGAAGAGGTTGGCAGTTATTTCTTCCATGCAAAATGAGTATGAAACTAGACAAAATTGTCACAAATAACAACTTCAGTGCACTGGAAACTGATAAGTAAAACAAGACAAATGAAAAGGTTCTTGTGCTTGAAAAACAGCTAAAGCTTTGAGCAGGAGTATGTGGCAGGATGTGGCCTTCTTGCCTGGGATGCTGCTATAGCTGCTTGCTTGGTCAGTGAGGACGATAGCTTTACCATCCTGGGGCTAGACTCAAAAATTAGCAGCGTTGCCACCAGAGGTTGCTAAGATCAATTTGGGGCAGTGGGACAAATAGTGTGACTTGGCTAGCTAAATATGGTGGATTCAATTGGAAGTGGATGCAGATACCCTGCAGCTTTGCTAGGCTGATTGCACTTCTAACTGGGGAAAGCAACACACCTGCCAAAAAGTTGACAGTGAGATCCTGGAATTAAGGGAACAATTAAAGGGCTGAGATAAGCTCCCCACCCATCTTGGCATATGAAACTCTGCATATCCAGGGGAGACAGTGAGAACCCAGCAAAGAGTGAAAGCCAAGAAAGACTGGAGACCAGCAATAGCTTTGAATGCATACTCTAACCCACACACAGATAATCAGTAGAAGTGGGTCCTTATGGGTTCATTTCATGACCACTTATCTATGCATATGCTAGTGAGACTCCTAAAAAGAATAGAAGAATAAGACATGGGAGATATATAAACTGAATAGCAAAATGGCAGGTGTAAATCCAACCATATTATCAATAATTATATTTAAATATGAATGGGAAAAATGTTTCAATCAGTAGTTTGTTGCCCTGGTAGGCAACAGTGCATCCTTCCTCATAATTCTTGTGATGCTACATAATCATCTGTGAGTCCAAGGGTGTCCTCCTGAAGCTGTCATTTTGTCAAGGATTCAGACTACATCTGGGATTAAATCCTGGCACTTTCATGGACTAACTAACTGATTAACGTTGGGCAAAGCACTATACCATGGAGATATCATAGGGTTGTTGGGTGGATTAATGTAACCATGTAAATGGTTAGAGCAGTGCATGGCACATAGAAAACATTCAGTGTATGTTAGTGATATGTTGACAGCTACTGGTATCACAGTGCTGATGATGGGATGGTAATAATGGTAATGATGTCTCCTCCCCTAGACTGTGAACTCCATGAAAATGGCATCTGTGACTTTCTCATCTTTGAATTTCACTCTTTGCATAGTACCTTGCATGGAGTAGGTACTTAATAAGTGCCTCTTGATTGAATTGAATGAATGAATTGCATCTTATTTTATTCATAGAGGAACTGATATTTGAGATGGTATGAGGATTAATTTTATTTGTCAATTTGGCTGGGTTATGGTGCTCAGTTATTTGATCAAACATTAAATGTTACTATAAAGGTATTTGATAGATGTGATTAATATTTACAATTGATTGACTTTAAACAAAGAGACTGGACAATGTGGTTGGGACTTATCCGATCAGTTGAAGATTTGAAGAGCAAAAACTGAGGTTTTCTCATGAAGGAGGAATTCTGCCTCAAGAATGTAACAAATCCTTCTCAGTTTCTAGTCTGCCAGCCTGCACTACAGCTTTCACACTCAAGACTACACATTAACTTTTTCCTGAGTTTTCAGTATGCCAGCCTGCCCTGTAGATTTTGGATTTGCCATCTCCCACAGTTGTCTGAACTAATTACTTAAAAGAAATCTCATTGTCTCTATATATCCTATTAATTTTGTTTATCTACAGAACCCTGACTGAACAGATAGCTTTGAAAGGTCAGTAAAAATAATGTCTAAAAATATTGAGTACTTACTACATGACCGGCCATATAGGGAGGGATAAAGTGATAGGTTGCAGTCCAGGCTGTGGTCGTTATAAAATATGTCCAGAAATTCTTCGATACTCTTTTCTTCTAAAGGCAGAGGTTGTTCCAGTCTTATTAAGTCACTGTACCTAGTGATTCTAACAGATACGATACGGCGAAGTGTTGAGACCAGAAATTAAAACCACTGGGGCTTCCTCCTTGCTCTCACTCTTGGATCACTCACTCTGGTGGAAACCAACTGCCATGTGTGAGGACACTGAAGTAGCTCTAGGGAGAGAGGGTAGAAGCTGGAAGGACTTTGCTGGAGTGTTTGTGAAAGCTTGAAGATCCTTGAAGAAACTGTGAGATGAGTGTTTGCAAGGAAGTGAAGTAACTATTACTGGAAACTAACAGAAAAGGGGATCCTTATTATGTAATGGCAGAAAAGTTAATAACATAGTCACCTGCAGCAATGTGGAATTAGAAAAGATACCTAATGAAATGGTGGTTGGTCTAAGGAGGCTTTCAGACAAAGTGTTAAGAGGAGCCTGGTTTCTTTTTTTTTTTTTTTTTTTCTGTTTATAGCACAATATGAGAGAAGAGAAAGAGGCAAAAGGAAAGGCTGTTAAACAAAAAAGAGTCAGAACATTGTGCTTCTGATTATTCCCAGCCTTTCCCAATGACAGGCAATGCTGATTACAGAAATTACTTATGAACAAAAAGTCATTCGGGATAGTTTAGAAAATTATGATCTGATGGTAAAACTGAGGGAGCGACTGTAAAATCTTCCATTAAAACCTCAGAGAGATCCAACATGTTGCTTTAGAAAATCATTCAATCAAATAGGTTTTCTAAGATGCTTTAGGGCATTGTCTCTCAGCAGAAGCCTGATATAGAGAAGGGTGTGTCTTTTGTCTCATGGAGTGAACTCCAGTAAGATTATATGAGAACCAAAACAATTTTAAGAGCATTATAGCACTATGCAGCTACAAATAGCCTACCTCTCATCACAAAGGCATTATGATTCAAAGGATGGGAAGCAAGAGCCTAGAATATGGGGACAAGAACTGTTGATAGTTATTTCTGAGCAGGAACAGGACTAAGTCCTAATCAAGGAACTTCCATTTTCCTGGCTGGATTTCGGAACTGTTTTCCTATTTTCTCCCTTTTTGAACAGGACTATCTACAGTGATTGCTGTACATGGGTACATTGGATACATGTGTGAGGCAAATAACTTGTCTCTTTAGTTCATAGGTCTTCTGATCATGAGGAATTATATTCTAGAAGCTGTAATTAAAGAACTATACCTGAGGAGCCATAGCTATACTGGGATTTGATTTAGATGCTAATATCCTGGATTTCAAACTGAAGTTGTAAAGGATGAGACCTTTTCCCTTTTCCTCCATTCCTTTCCACTCCTTTCCACTCCTTTCCACTCCTCTCCATTCCTCTCCTTTCCTCTCCTTTCCTTTCCTTCTTCAGCATGAGTATATTTAATATGTGAGAGAAATGCACGTAATTTGTGGTCAGAGAGCATACTGTGTAGTTTTAAACCTGGGCACAATTTTTTTATACTCCTTCATTGAAAAGGTTTAATGTGGCGGGAATGGCAGTGTTAAGAGTTCTGAGACTACATCATTGTGGCTTCCTCCTTGCTCTGCTCTTGGATTACCCACTTTGAGGAAACTAGCAACCATGTCATGAGGGACATTCAGCAGCCCTATGGAGAGGCTTTTTGACAAGGAGCTGGATCTTTTTGCCAAAATCTAGAAAGGAACTGAGACCTCCAGCCAACAGCCATGTGAATGAGCCTTCTTAGGAAGCATATTCTGAAGCCCCAGCCAAGCCTTCAGATGACTGCTATCCAGATGACATTTTGGGCAGTCTCATGAGAGATTCCAAGCCAGAAACACATGGCTCATCCTGTGCCAGATTCCTGACCCATAGAAACTCTCTGTAATAATAATGTGTTCACTGATGTTTTAAACTACTGTTTTAGGGTCATATGTTTTGTAGTAATAGATAACTATTATAACAAGCAGATATAGTTGGTCACAGCATGGGTTTGTAGGCCATGTAGGCCTCTTGGTCAGTGTCTGATTTCCGCTGCCCTGGGCACAGATGAGATTCTTTAATGTTTTGGTGAATGCACAATTGTGTGCTTCCAAATATTTTCTCAGATACCTGTAACTGCCCCTTGAAATTTATTTGTCTCCACTTATTTCAGTGTTCAAGCTGATGATTGAAATGTTGTTAGAAATGGGAGCTTGATTCATTCCTAGATCTGAATATAAATTACATAACAGGAAAAAATGTTTGGAGACTTATTCCTGTTCTGTTTTTAGGAACTAGATACCTAGCAGCTGGGTTTTTTGTTTGTTTGTTTGCTTGTTTTTATTTTTGTTTTTTTTAACATGAGATTATCCAAAGTATTTTTTTAATTTTAATTGACAAAATTATATTAATATGTATTTATGGAATATAACATGATGTTTTGACAGAGATATATATGCATGTATATATTGTGGAATGCCTAAATCAAGCTAACATACTAATTTGTTGATTATATAGTTAAATATGTCTTAAGTTATAAAAGCAAAAAACTGACATCCATTAAGTATGTTCATATATTTATGACTACAACATAATAGTTAAAAACTTTAAAACAACTTAATAGGGAAATACTTGAAAATAAAAATATATGTTAATTAACCACTAAAAGTAATATAGTCACTCATAACTGAATCATCAGCAATGACACTATTGCTTGCTGGCATTTAGCTTTACTATGTTGTTTTGGTCTTTAATAAGAATTTCAAACTAACAAATGAAGCAGCTGAACCTTGATAAGTGTTTATTACTTTTGGTTATATTCTTATTACTAATAATTATCTCTTTTAAAATGGAACTATCTAATAGTACCTTCCTTTTTCTTCTCAGGGAATTGCTCCAAAGCTGGAATTTTCTACAACTTCAGTTATTACCGAATGTCTGATAAGTTCAAGGAAGTGCCGCACTCAGGTTAAATCATTTAATTGAAGTATTTAATGGCTTAATATATCTGTTCATATTTATGGCCATTTGACAAACATTATTCTTTTATGTGAGCTGCAGCTGTTTTCACTTTTTGTGGCGTCAATTTTTAGTTTAAGTAAAAACAACTAATATAGGTATTGAACAATTTGGTTATATTGTAATAAATGTGAGAATGGAAAACTTGGTACACATGAGAGAGGGTGTCATGATGTTTTGTTTTGTTTTGTTTTTTACTTCATCTACTTTTTTTCCCCTTAATGCAGATCAATTAAGCTACAGAAAGATGTTGGGATCAAGAAGTCCCATAGAGATCTAGATTGGAGGCTTCTGTAAATCTTATAGAAGTTACAGATTTCTGCAAAATGTTCAAAGGATACCTTTTTAGCAAATGTGACCAGAGTTCTCAGACTGGGATATTGGTATTTAGTGAGTGTAGTTTTTTGAATGTCTCAAATTCCTCAAGGGACTGTTGCTCATTTTGGTGGCCATACTGGTGCTGTCATATCTAGAGAAGCTTGAACATTTCAGCCTAAGTGTCCTATATTTTTGAAAACTTCTATATTTTTCCCCTTCTATATTTTTGAAATATATATTTCTATATTTTTGAAAACTTTGTTTAGTAAGCAAGGATATCTGGATATAATATTCCATTCTGCTCTAACTTCTTACTGAGTCACCAGGATGGTCTTGCTACCTTGTCTACAGGTTATCTAATAATCTCCAGTCTCACTCATGCAATTACATTGTGATCAGGTATCAGTGACCTATCTGTGATGAAAAGCCAGTCATATAGAAAGCCCAGAGGGCTCAATCAAACAGGACAGGATTGGGCCTATCATGGAAGGAGTGGAATGTTAATTTACTGCATTATCAGTTTTTAAGTAAATTTGCTGAGAATGCTAACTGTGACTTAAACTAAGAAAGGTAAAATATAGTTATAGAATTATTGAGGGGACCATTCTTATTCTGTTTAGCAAGATGTTTAGTATTTCCAAGACATGCTATAGTTATTTATCTTTTAAATGCAAGTTGAAATATAGCTTTTAGAGATCTAGCAACCTATAGACTGATTCTTTCAGTCTGGACTGGCTGGTTAGGGCTGAATGGTTTAGGATGGCTTTACACATACCTGGCGGCTGGCAGACTTTTAGTTGGGGATAGACCTTATATTTCTGGTGATGAACTTGATTTCAACTGGGGCAATGGTCACAAGACTCTCATCATCAATCAGGCTAATAATTCCAGCTCATTTACATGGTGGCAGGAAAATTTTTAGCAGTAAGAGAGGACAGACACTTTTTAAGTCTCTTCTTGTGTCACATGTGCTATTGAACTGTTAGCCAAAGTCACATGGTCAGACCTAGAGTCATTGTAAGTGGAGAAACTACCCTAGGTGTGGATATAGGAAAGGAAATCATGGAAGCCATTTTACAAACAGTGTAACACAGCCACTATTTTAAGTTTTACTAGGGATGAACAGAGTGCATTAAGGAATGAGTAGGGTTAGACAGCATGCATTTGTAGTAGTTACTACATAGTTTATAACTTCCTCTAGTAGTATGCAGCATTTAAAAATGTTACAAAGAAAGAAGATGGGGTTAGTCACTTATGTTGTGGTATAATCAGAGGTGAGTATATACTAAGAAATTTTATAGCTTTGCTGAAATGAATGATTATGAGTTCTACTGGGTCTGAAGGTGAGAAATACTAAAAATGTATAAAGGACTCTGGGAAAGAGCTCTAGGGACTGAGGAGATAAGGAGGGCAAGTAATAGTGAGAGTAAAAGAAGTAGGTTGAAGAAAAGAGATTTTGGTCAACAATGTATTTTCAGAGTTCAGGATACAGTGGATCTGGAAAATGATGAAATCCAAGATGTAATAGAAAAAGATAATTGAAGCTGAGAAATAGAAACTCTAATTCCAAGGTCTTGGAAAAATTCATTGCTTGAATGTTTTATTATTAATAATAAACCTCAGAGGTCCTTTGTGATGCTAACATTCCTTGTTTCTGTGAGTCAGTATGATGTCATAGAGAGGGATGAAATAAGGTAGGAAAATTCTGGATTATTTGAAGTCATTGAATAAGATGGGAGAAGGTCTAGGAGCATGTCAAAAACTATGGTAAAAAGAAAGATAAAATAATATGATGTTACTGGTCTGTATGAAACTGGTAGGCTTATTTTTCTAGTTAGGAAGATATATGTTTCCTATGTATCTACTTTAAAAAAATATTTGACTCTTTTCCCTTCTATTCACATATGTATTTTATTTACTTAGATACCTTTAATAAATAGGGAAGAGAGTTGAGGAAGTGGAGAGGGAGGTGGGATTGGTGGTTTTTAAAAGTGATTAAAGTTAGAAAGACATTCAAAGATTCTTAGCAATCCATTTTCTCTACTTAAAAAGCTTCTTATAATTCTAGATAAAACATTAAGAAATCTTATATTATTTACTTGTAATCCAATTATTAAGGCAGGTACTATTTGAATAAAATGTTATCTTAATAATACAACAAAATTACAAATAACAATTTTAAAAAAATTCAGTATCAAAATTTTTAGGCTGCTAACTAGTTTTATTAGAAGATAAGAACCAATTATTAAAGTTTATATATCTTTTATACATTTTACTTTTATAAAAATATGGGACCAGAATTAAGATGTATGATCATCTGTCATTGAATTGTAGAATTATAGCTTAAGTGGGACCTTAAAATCCTTAATCTTGTATTAATAGAATCCAAATAGTACATTTCATTAAAATATGTATAAAGTTATTCTTCACATTTTCATGTTGTACATATGTATATAACATCAGCATGAACAAAACTTATTTTTATAGTTTTTTTCATAAAAATTTCATAATAAACTTATTAGACATGTATATTTTTAACATTATTAAACAGTTCTCTTAAATTATGTAGCCGATTATGGGAATATTTAAATATGAAAGATAACTAATATTTGCATTAAGTTTTTAGTATACTGAAAAATAATTTTTCCGACTTTGTTTCTAGATTTTTCAAATACTTAAGTATTGGGCTTTTATTTTATAAAAGCCTTGTTAGTTAGACTTAAGAAGGAAATTTGATAGAGCATGCTTTACTTACTACTATAGAAAGAGTTATCTAGGAGAATATGGATTTGACTTCTTCCAGGATCAGCACAGACAGGAAGATAGGAAGGGCTGATCTAATTGCCTTTGATAGAGTTTCTGTGTCTTAGTTAAATTATTTAAACATTTTTTTTCTCCAAATGGGGTTTTTTAAAAATTTCTTTTGCCCAAGTTAATTTTTATTTTTTATGTTTAGGATAAATTTATGTACCATTCAGCTCCAGTTGAAAAACCACACGGCAGACTGCAAAGCAGAACATCAAGATCACAAAAGAAAAAATCCAAATCACCTGAGAGAAGTAAATATTGCGTAAATGCAAAAAACTACGAACAGCCTACAATTTCTTCAAAATCACACTCTCCATCTCCCTACACAAAAAGACGGATGTGTGAGCTATCTGAAGACACCAGGCGGCGGCTGGCCCATTTAAATCTGGGACCCTATGAATTCAAAAAAGAAACAGATAAACCTCCATTTGTGATTAGACATGTAAGCATTTCCATTTGAAATTTATCAAATCTTTTCTTCCACTAAAATATTCTGAAATGTCTTTCAATTTCTAGTTTATATTAATAATTTTATTTGCTGAACTGTTAGCCTAGCAATCTAAAATGGACAATTAACTTAAAATAAAAGAACATTTTTTTTTCAGTCTTTAAACCAGGCAGAGACCAAACTCCATTATGAATGCCATGTCATATCCTCTTAAGTACCCATTTCCTTGCTTCTTATACCGTGGACAGCATAATAACTCTATAAATTGACCTTGGTTGTAATTGACATTAGTACCAAAATAGAAAAGTAGAATTTTAAAAGAGAACCAAATATTCTTTCAGAAAAGGAAGACCCTTCACCCACCCCAGGTGTTTTAAAAATTATAATGGAAAGTGAGTTTTCTTTGAAATGATATCCTTTGGGTAAACTTTATATAATGGATCTTTGAATCAAATTATTAATTATGGGTATGGGAAGACCTTTGAAAGGGAAGAGAGTTAATTTAAGGGTAGCATAGTTCTAATCTTTCTATACAGAAGCCTGCTTTGAATCTTGTGTCCCTATGTGTTCTGGTATAACTTTCAATATGATAGTCAAATAGACTTTGGCTAAATTTAATATCAGAATATTTAATAAAGGACTCTCTCAAAGTCTTCATAGTTTCTTGAATTTTTATAAAGTATTTTACCTTAAAAGCAATTATTTACCAAAAGCTTTTAAATTAATAAAAAATATTGATTAATATAAGACAACTTCAGAAAGTTCATGGAAAATTTGTGCATGGGTTTCAAAATTTTTTTGCATCAAAATCTACTTATATTAACTTGTTATAACATGTCTGAACAAGATCTAGTTTGAGGTACTAAAGAGAATAAGACTCAGTTTAAAAAGAGACCCTGTCAGAGCAACATGCTAACATTGAAGCAAGAACAAACATTAAATTTATTGTGAAGCTTGAGTAAAAGAATGGTGAAATCTTTGATGCTTTACAAAAAGTTTATGGGGATAATGCTCCAAAGAAATCAGCAGTTTCCAAATGGAAAATTAGTTTTAGGAAGGGATGAGAAGATGTTGAAGATGATGCCTGCAACGGCAAACCATCCATATCAGTTTGTGAGGAAAAAATTAATCTTGTTTGTGCCCTAATTGAAGAAGACTGACAATTAACAGCAGAAACAATAGCTCAACTGCTTCAGCTTATACAATTCTGACTGAAAAATTAAAGTTGAACAAACTTTCTACTTGGTGGGTGCCAAAACCTTTGTGCCCAGATCATCTGCAGACAAGAGCAGAGCTTTCAATGGAAATTTTAAACAAATGAGAACAAGATCCTGAAACATTTCTTCAAAGAGTTGTAACAGGAGATGAAACATGGCTTTACCAGTATGATCCTGAAGATGAAGCACAATCAAAGCAATGACTACCAATAGGTGGAGGAGGTCCAGTTAAAGCAGAAATACAAATGTGAAGAGCAAAAGTCATGGTGACAGTTTTTTTGGATGTTCAAGGCATTTTGATTGTTGACTTTGTTAAGGGCCAAAGAATGATATCATCTGCTTATTATGAGAGTGTTTTAAGAAAGTTAGCCAAAGCTTTGGCAGAAGACAGCCCGGGAAAGCTTTACCAAAGAGCACTTCACCAGGAAAATGCTCATACTCATTCCTCTTATCAGACAAGGGCAGTTTTGCCAGAGTCTTGATGGGAAGTCCTTAGGCATCCACCTTAAGTCCTAATTTGGCTCATTCTGACTTCTTTTTGTTTGCTGATCTTAAAATATCTGTAAAGGGCAATCATTTGTTCTTAGTTAATAATGTAAAAAAGACCATATTGACATGGATAAATTTCCAGGACCCAAACAGTTCTTTAGGGATGGACTAAATGGCTAGTATCATTGCTTACAAGAAAGCATCTTGACCTTGATAAACCTTATGTTGAAAATAAAGTTTATATTTTTTATTTTTATCTTTTAATTTCATTTTCTGTGAACTTTTTGAAGTTTTGTATAATATATTAATATATTTAATAACATTAAACCTCCAGATTTAAGTACCCATAGAAGCAAAACAACTTTTTGGGATATTTATAAAAATATTTCTGACTAATATTTTTAATACATTTTTTCTAAATTCTAAAATGAATTAATCCAACATGTAAATATGTCCATTTGGCAGTCTAAATAGCTTTTTGGACATACACCATCTGAAAGTTCAGATTTTCTTTGTGTTACCTTTTTAAAAAAATTTAAATGTGTCTTAAGCAACATTTCATTTCATCTTCATGTTTTGACTATGAAGCCTTCATTTTTTTAACCTAAAGTTACAGATTTTCAATTATAAAAGAAAGTGTATAGTATAATGAATAGTTTGAAATGATGACATTTTATTGAGGTTATTGTGATTGCTTTTCTGATTTCTATAGAACTTCATTATAAGTGCTGATCTCATTTTTTTGATTGTTTGAACAATAATCAGATAATGTTTTAGTTGCATATTTTTGTTGAGACAGAGTCTCACTTTGTCGCCCTAGCTAGAGTGCAATGGTGTCATCACAGTTCACTGTAACCTCAAACTCCTGGGCTCAAGCAATCCTCTTGCCTCAGCTTACCAAGTAGCTGGGAATACAGGCACGTGCCATGACACCTGGCTAATTTTTCTATTTTTAGTAGACATGGGAGTCTCACTCTTAACTCAGGCTGGTCTCGAACTCCTGAAGAGTGTTAGGATTACAGGCGTGAGCTACCATGCCCAGTCTAGTTCCATGTTTGATTGTAGCTTAAAAATGCCTTTAATTTTATGTCTGCCCACAGTTACAAATTAAATAGAAAAGAAAGGATAATACTATATTCTTATCATAGTAGCATTTTAATTAAAATGCCTATGTAGAAAGATAAACCAAAATATTGAGGGTTAGCCGCATAAAAATTTCTTGAGGAAATAAATGCTCTTAAAATGTTTGTTTTATTATTATTTTTATGTCAGTGTTCAGAATGGAATAATTCTAATATTACTTGGTATAAACCTTGAAATTTTAATTTAAGTGGTTTTCCTCCCAGTTTTTCAATGAACAGAAATGCATACTTCTAAGTCTATACTTAGAAAATTGCTTACATTATTGAATAGGAAACTGGAATTTTCCAGGGTATATGTAAACATAAACATGGTTTCTTCCCACCCTCTGCTGTACCCCCCACCCCCCAACACAGCCATTCATGGTTTTAAAAGCACTTGGAAATTGGTAACCAAACAAAATTTTAACTTGATACATATATGCAAAATGTTAGCACTTTTAGGAAAGACATTCTAGTTTATGTACATGATATGAAAAGTAAATCTTAAAGGAAAAGGAAACAGTTTTAAGAAATCAGTTAGCATGCTTCCAAACAAACCAGCATAGGCATAACCATTCTAGAAGAATTAAACAGCCTTTTTATTTTTCATTTATGCAGGATAGGATCTTTTTTCCTATTATAAAATACATACAACATAATATTTACTTTTTCAACCATTTTAAAATGTAAATTCAGCAGTATGATGGGTGTTTACAGTGTTGTACAAGTGTCTGATTCCAGAACTTTTTCATCTCCCTAAATGGAAACCATGTACATAATAAGAATTCACCCCTTGTTCCTCCCTTCCACCAGCCCTAGCAACTACTGTTTGCTTTCTGTCTCTATGCATTTGCCTATTCTGCCATTTCATATAAATAGAGTCACAACAATATTTGGCCTGTTGTGTCTGGCTTTTTTCAGTTAACACAATGTTTTTGAGGTTTCATCTATATTGCATGTATCAGTACTTGATTCCTTTTTATGGCTAAATAATATTTCATTATATGGATATATACCACATTTTGTTTATCCATTTATCTGTTGGTGGACATTTGGACATTAATTAAAATGCCTCCGTGAACAGTTGTGTACAAATTTTTGAATGAATACATGTTTTCAGTTCTTTTGGTTAAATACTTAGGGGTAGCATTGCAGAGGTCATATGGTAAGTCTATGTTATCTTGTTGAGAAATTGCCAAAGTATTTTTCATAGTGGCTGCACTATTTTATATTCTTACTAGCAATATATAAGGGTTCTAGTTTCCCCACATTCTCTATAACACTTGTTATTTTCTATTGTTGTTTTGCTTTGTTTTTTATTATAGCCATCTCATGGGTGTAAAGTATCTCATTGTGGCTTTAATTTGCATTTCCCTAAGGACTAATGATGTTGAGCACCTTTTAATGTGTTTGTTGCCTATTTGTATGTTATTTTTGGAGAAGTGTCAATTTGTGTCCTTTGACCATTTTTAGTTGGCTTGTTTGTCTTTTTTGTTCTTAAGTTGTTAAGAGTTCTTTACATATTCTGGATTCTGGATCCTTACATGTATATGCTTTGCAAATGTTTTTTTTCCATTGTGTAGGTTACCTTTTCACTCTCTTTTTAAAAAAAATTTATTCTGTAAATTGTGGTAAAATACACAGAACATAAAATTTGCCATTTTAACCATTTTTCCGTGCACAATTCAGTAACATTAAGTACATTCATGTTGTTGTGCAACCATCAGCACCATCCACCTCTAGGACTTTTTCGTCTTGCTAAACTGAATCTCTATACGTATTAAACAGTAACTTCCCATTTTTGTCTCCCCCAGCCCCAGGCAACCACCATTCTAATTTCTGTTTCTATGAATTTGACTACTCTTGGTACCTCATATAAGTGGAATTATACATTGTTTTTCCTTTTGTGACTGGCTTATTTCATTTAACATAATGTCCTCAAGGTTCATCCATGTTGTAGTATGTGTCACAATTTCCTTCCCTTTTATGACTAAATAATATTCTCTCATATGTCTATATGACATTTGTTTGTCCATTCATCTGTTGGTAGATATGTGAGCTGCTTCCATCGTTTAGATATTATGTACAATGTTTCTGTAAACATGAGTGTACAAAGTGAATAACACTGCTATGAACATGGGTGTACAAATATAATAGCTATTGGAGCTCCTGCTTTCAATTCTTTGGAGTATATATTCAGATATAGAATTGCTGGATCATATGATAATTCTGTTTTTAATGTTTTTAAAAACTGCCATATTGTTTTCCAAAGCAGCTATACCATTTTACATTCCCACCAATAGTGTAAAAGTGTTTATGTATCTCCACATCCTCCCCAACTGTTATTTATTATTTATTTATTTATTTATTTTTATAATAGCCATCCTCATGGGTAAAAAGTGGTATCTGACTATGATTTTGATTTCCATTTTCCTAATAATTAGTAATGTTGAGCATTTTTTCATATACTTATTGGCCATTTGTATACCTTCTTTGGAGTAATCTCTATTCAAGTTTTTTGCCTATTATTAAACCCTTTTTTTGTTGTTGAGTTGTAGGAGTTCTTCATACAATCTGGAGAATAAACCCTTATTAGATATGTGATTTGTTAATATTTTCTGCGATTCTGTGGGTTGCCTTCTCACTCTCTTAATACTGGCCTTTGATGCACAAAAGTTTTTAATTTGGATGAATAGGGGTGTCTTTTTTACACATTTATGTCATTTTGACTTTTTATTTTTGGTTAGATAATATGGTTGACAATTGTTATAGTAAGCTATAAGGCACTGGGCATGCTAGGCTCTGAACACAGACAAGTAAAGACATTATTTGAATTCAAAATATACATGCTCAGGAGATAAGTAGCAAATGGCTAGACTTGTTTTTTAAATATGGCAAAATAGATTGCTCTTTTTTTAACCTTTTAATGGAAAGCAAAATAGGCAATGGAGTAACGGATATTTCAATGGCAAATCTGTTCATTTTAAATTAGTATAAATATATAAAAATTTCTGAAGTTTGATTTCAATTTTACTTAAAAATGAACAACAAAATATTGACTAAACTCTGACTTTGGAATATGCCTGACCCTTATGAGCACCATCATGTTAACCTGATGATATGTAGTCTCTGTACCCTAGTTGTTTTTCTGATATCATGAGATTGAAGGACTGGGAATATTTAAGTTCTTTTTTACATTGAAATCCTACTTCCTGTAGGTTGATCCCCCAAGTCCCAGGGCTGACACTTTATTTGGATCTTCTGGCAGAGACTGTGAAAGAGATGGATGGTCAAGGATGCACAATGGTAAGCTAGAAGTTATCTTTCCTCATTGCCTTAGTTGTCTGAGCTACAATCAAGCCTTTAACTTGGCATTGCTTAACAAAAACAGAATCTTTGCTGTATTATTGGATAATGTGGTATAGTGTATGTAGCTTTTTACAACTTGTGGGGCATCAATACAGGTACTCTCTAAAATAATAGAATTTGTGTGTTATTATAAACCATCTTCCTGTTTGAGTTTTGAAATACATATTAGCATATTAAACTGATACCTTATACTGTTAGGAAAAAAACAACTTGATTGATTTGGTTTTACTCAACATTTTCTAAACTTACTTGACTATAGAACCCATTCTAAGTAATTTTAACTACTTTGATAATCAGTTTATTTATTAAAGAGTGCAGATAACATGACAAATGTTACAATGTAAAATACACTAGCACACAAGATGGTTAATAAATATCAGCTGTCATTATATTTATAATAGTTATTTATATTCCTGAAAAGGTAACATTCTCTAAGTGTAGTTTATAAGAGTACTTTTTCATCTTTAGCCCTACTCCTTGTGGTTAGATAAGTTGCTTTTTAAATTCTATATGATGGTGATTTTTATGAATAAGGTTAAATAGCATTATATAATTAAGGGTATTTGAGTGTTAATATCTGTAGACATTGGGTAGTGGGTTAAGCAGTTATTCACTAACAGCCTTTGTAACTGAGTCCAAGCTCGTACCAACCCAGAAGATGGAGGACTAGTGTCTTAAAGAACCATTTTAAGTTAGTATAAAGTTTAGGCTTTTTTTGTGTTAAGGGAAGGGATGGCATTACAAGAGATAAGTAAGGACCACAGACATTTGGGCATCAGCGAGGGTCAAGGATGTTGTGAAACTTCTTTGTTCTTGGTCAGTTAACTTTGAAGGATGGAGGTCAGGTCACAATTTTCCTACTAATCTTTAACATAGTGTTGTTACTTGTGTATATATTTTCCTCATCTCCCTGGGAGTTAGTTTTGGGAAAGGATTGGTTATATTTTTTTTAAGAGTTGAACTAAAAACTAATATGAAGAGCTAAGCAGAAGCTTTTAACCTAAAGGATATTGCTGCAGGGGGTCAGAAGCAAAATGGATCTAGTCAAGCTAAGCCTCTCTGCCACTGTTACTTCAATTTACTACACACTGAGAAAGTCATAGAGGAAGAAAAATGAGATAGACTGAAAAAAATAGCATCATAACATGGAGTGAGCTTCATCTTTTTCTGTTTCTAAACTGTATATATAATCTCTTTTTGTTAAATGAGGAAATGAAACATTCTTTTCTGAGAACATGCAGAGTTTGTGCTTGTTTATTTTGTTGTTTTTTTTTAGCACTAACAGAGAGATAGATGTGATAATCAATAAGTCCTTTATGTTCAGAATAGCAGATTATATGAAATTAGAAACAGATGTTAAACTCTGTTTCCTCTCTTAGAAAAAACTTATGGACATGGAAAATGAGCTTTAAGAACAGCTAAAGGAAACTAACATCAACATAAATGTTTCTTTGGAAGATATTTTTGGAGCATTCAAGTGTCTGATTTCTCTTGACAATTATATATTTGCTGGCAAAACTGTTATAGTTCTAGTAACTTTCAATCTGCTTTATGTAGAAGTATGATCAGAGAGGTCAATCGCTTTTTTTTAACTTCTTACTTTGACATAATTTCAGACTTACAGAAAAATAGAAATAGTACAAAGAATTCCCTTTTCCCTCTTTTTCTTTCCCCTCTGTGCCCTCTCTGTATGTATCTATGTATAAACTTTTTTGACAAGGGCATTATTATACACTTAATTGTATCCCCTAAAAATTCATATGTTAAAGCCCTAACCCCCCCTCCATGAGATATATTTGGAAATGTGGCCTTTGAGAGGTGATCAGGTTTAAATGAGGTCATGAGGGTGGGGCCCTCATCATGGCTTTAGTGTTCTTATTCAAAAAGGAGCCAGAAAGCTTGCTTTTTCCCTCTCTCACTGCCATGTGGAGACTTAACTAGGAGATGGCCATCTATAAGCCAGGAAGAGAAATCTCGCCAGAAACTGACCATAGTGGCACCCTGATCTCAACCTTTCAGCCTCCAGAACTGTGTGAAATAAATTTCTGTTGTTTAAGCCACCCAGTATATGATATTTTGTTATGGCAGCCCAAGCAGACTAATGTAGACATTATCTTATATGATTCAGTTATCAAAAGTAGGAAATTAACAAATATATAATAATATTAACTGATCTATAAACCTAAATCAGATTTTGCCATTTGTCCTAATCGTTGGTCCCTACCCGCCTGGCCTGTAGGGAACTGAGCTGCACAGCTGGAGGTAAGCAATGGGCCACAGCAAGAGGTGAGCAGTGGACAAGGCAGCAAAGCTTCATCCGTATTTACAGCGCATTTCACCACCTGAGCTCTACCCCTAATCCTGATCCATGGAAAAATTGTCTTCCATGAAACTGGTCCCTGGTGCCAAAAAAGCTCGGGACCACTGGTCCTAAGGATATCTTCATAGCAAAAGAAATCTCACATCATGCATAACATGCAGCTGTTATTTCTCTTTAGTTTTCTTTAATGTAGATCAGTTCCTTAGTCTTTCTTTGTGCTTAATTAAATTGATAACTTTGAAGAGCACAGGCCAGTTATTTTATAGAATGTCCATCAATTTAGGTTTGTTTGATTTTTTCCCCTCATGATTAGACTTAGATTATTAATTTTTCTGCAGAATACAAATGATTTGCTACTCTTAGTACATTATGTCAGGAGGGTATGTAGTGTTTTGTTACTGGTGATGTTAATTTTACTCACTTGATAAAGATGGTGTCTGCCACTTTTCTCCATCATAAAGGTACTAATTCTTTCCTTTGTAATTATGGGAAGATACTTTGAAACGATGCAATGTCCTCTTAGTCCTCAACTTTAACTCCTTTAGCATACATTGATTGTTGTTGCCTGAAACAATTTATTACTGTGATTTTTGCCAAATAATGATTTTTAAATATTTGTTAACCTTTGTACATTTGTTACTTGACTTTCTACAGTAAAGAATTTTCCCTTCTCATTCCTCTAATTTTAATGCCCCTAGTCTTTTGACTACATTTTTTTTTCCTGGCTGGCAGCTGAGGAGGTCTCATCAACTTTTGTGTTCTCATCAACTATTTAAATGTACGTGGCAATTTCTTATGGTAGGTCCTCTTAAACATAGTGAATTCTCATCCAAGATCTTGCTTTGTAGAAATTTTTAACCTTGGCTTACCAAATTATCTTGCTTTATAGTTCTTATTTTTATACGATGCCATATTCACCAGCATTTACCCATTTTGTCCTCCTAATAATCATGTAAAGGTGGATTTCATTATATTTGAGGAAAAATAGCAGGGGCTTAGACAAGTTAATTGACTTGTTTGAGAGCTACAAAATGGCCATGCCCAATCTGGAATCCAGGTCTTCTGGCCCCAGGTTCCTTCTTTTCTACCATTTTCCTACAACTTTCTCTATTTTCATTAAGGTGTATATTTTTAAAAATACATTTTTCAAGCACATTGTCTCTATCTGGAATCACCGTGGTATCTAATTCTAATTGTAAATTGTGTGGTCCTTTTGAAGACTGTTTGGAAGCTTTATCCAGTCATTTTTGCCCTTAAAGAGGAAATCAAGGGCTTTATCCTGGCCCCTTTATTTGCTTGGAGTTTAGGAATGATATTAGAATCTGTCTCTTCTCTTGGAGGAAACTTATTCTCTTACTCTATTCTTTTATGAGTTTCATTTCTATATTAAGATTGTAATCTTTTATGAACTTTCACTAATCCCTTTGATGGTTACTATTATAAAGTAACCATCAAAGTTGTTAAGTAAAAGAAATTAGATTTCCAAATCCTAATATGTCACATCTTGAGTAGACAACAATAGCTGGTAATTTTGATGTTTTCTGAATAAAATAGCATGTAGTCATCATGTACATACTCATTAGCAAAATATCTCATTTGTTACAGTTTTCTTGTAAATGTGTCTGTCCCTCCTCCTGGATTTGTTGTCCTATCAAGGGTAGTAAGTAGCTCAATGATATCATTTCTAGGAACTCTTATTTCTCTATTTTTATTCAACATTCTTAACCAGTTTATTGAGGTATAATTTATATACCATAAAATTCACATTTTAAGTGTACAATTAAATTATTTTTAATAAATTTGCATAGTTGTGGAATCACCATGACAATCTATTTTTAGAATTCCCTCCCTTAGCCCCTGGATTGTTTCAACTTTTGGCTATTATGAATAAAGCTGCTATGAACATTTGCACTGAAATCTTTGTGTTGGGATATGTTTTAATTTCTCTTGAATAGATTTCTAGGAATGGAATTACTGATTCATATGGTAAATTTATTTTTAACTTTTTAAGAAATGGCAAACTATTTTCCAAAGTGACTGTACCATTTTACATTCCTACCAGCAGTGTATGAGGTTTCTAGTTTCTCTACATTGTTTGCAACATGTCTTATTATCTTTTTTTATTATGACCATTCTGGTAGGTGTACATTTCTATCTCATTGTGATTTTAATTTGCATTTTCCTAATGACTAATAGCATTGAATGTTTATGAACTTATTAGCCATTTGTATACTTTTTTGCTGATCATCACTCTTCTAGTTACTAGTAAGAAGGGAACCTGTCGTATGCCAAACTTCAGACAATAGAAAAAAAAAATAAGTTAGGGGTAAAGTCTGGGATTTTTTCCTACTGAGACTTTGATAACTATAGGAATGAAAATAATAAAAATATTAGACATTGGAGTAAATGGTTTCAGGTGAATGCAGCACAGTGAGCAAGAGGTGAGAAACACTTTAGTGTATGCCTTTTTTTTTTTTAAAAGGTTGGATCCTCTGAGAGATATTTTATAAAGCTGGACATCTTGGCTTTGCTGCTGGTCATAGGGATTGACATATGGCAAATGCATTAGCTGTATGTTCCATGAATGTTCACAGGGGAGCAGAGGGCCAACATTAGAATGTTACATGGGCATTGGGGTAGGGTGGGTATTATGGTTTGAATGTTTCTCCCCTCCAAAACTTATATTGAAATTTAGTTGCCATAGAACAATATTAAGAGATGGGACCTTTAAGAGGTGATTAGGCCATGAGGGCTCCACTCTCATGGATGGGACTGGTGCCATTATAAAAGGACAACTTTGGGCCCACTCTTGCCCTCTTCCTGCCTTGTCACCTTCTCCCATGTGATGATGCAGTGAGAAAGCCCTTGCCAAATGCTGGCACCTTAATCTTGGACTTCTCAGCCTCCAGAACTGCAAGAAAATAAATTTCTATTTATAAATTCCCCAGTCTCATATTCTGTTACAGCAGAGCACAAAATGGACTGAGATAGTGGGTAGCAGTATCCTTCATAGTAGAGTACTATGGAGGTTGCTAATAAGGATTGACACACAGGAACAACACATATTGGCTGTAATTGTTAGGATTTGGTTCAAGAATTACTTTGATAGAAAGAATGAGTTGATTCAGAGAGATAAGTTTTAGATTAAAGTTCCTTAAGTCCGTGGTTAAAGTTAGGATTGTTCCCTTGGGACTGAGTCATATGCCTTGTGACTGAGACATATCTGAGCCTATAAATGAAGGTTAACTATGGACAGAAGAAGGATGCAGAGGCTCTAAATTACCAAAACATCTCAGTGTGAATGGTGACTTTAGGGGCAAAGTAGGTCTTAGTTTCTTATTAATGGTTGCTAAGGAAATGTTTTTATGACTGTCACATTTTGTTTTTAACCAGAACTGTTAATCACTACTTGGCATTTTATTAATTTGATTATATGTTACATTCATTTGGTTAGCAAATCCATAATCTGATGTTATTTTGGGGACTACTGACACTTTTATTCTCCTATATGCTTTTGTTTTATAATAAGAAAGTCTATCCTTATATTAGTGGAAGTAGCACTGAACTAATAAAAGACTCAATTCCATCACTGTTAGTTATATAGGATGTCAGTCTCTGGAATGCAAAGTAGAAATAATCAGTTCTACCTATTATATTAGTATTAGTCTGCTCAGGCTGCCATAATAAAATACTATAGACTAGCTGGCTTAAACAAAAGATATTTATTTTCTCACAGTTCTGGAGGCTAGGAAGTCTAACATCAAGGTGCTGGCAAGGTAGGTTTCATTCTGAGATCTCCTTTCTTGGCTTGTAGTGGCCACCATCTTGCTTGTGTACTCACATGACTTTTGGGTGTGTGGGGTAGGGAGAAAGAGAGAGAGAGAGTAGAGAGAAAGAGAACAAGCTCTCTGGTGTCTTTTCTTATAAACACATTAATCCCATCATTAGGGCCCCATTATCATGACCTCATCTAACTCTAATTATCTCCCAAAAGTCCCATCTCCGAATATCTTCATTTTGGGATTTAGGACTTCAATATATGAATTTTAGAGGGACACAAACATATAGTTCATAACACCTATTTTGTGAAGTTAATGGAGAATCAAATAATAGCAAACATTTACTGAATGTATATTTTCTGCTAGCTGTTATTCTAAGTACTTATATTGGTTAATTACGCATGGTAGCATCATGAAGGTTAGAGACTGTAATTAATTCCCATTTTACAGATGGAGAAACCTGAGGTTTAAAGAAGTAAAGTAAGTTGTTTAAGATCACACATAGAAGATCTTAACTAGCTTACTTTTTCTTCATACTTTTCTTAAGTGAGAACTATTTATTATGCCTGGCTCAAGTTTCTCCACCTTTAGGAAGTTTATTCTGATTACCTTTAACCTTGAGGGATTGCTCTCTGATACAACCTTTTTATAGCATTAATTGTCTGTACCATTCTGACATTTAGCCTGTTCTATACTGCTGCTATTCAACTTTGTATAACTTAACCAAAATAGATTATGAGTACTTCATGGTCACCGGCCATGACTTTTCTCTACTTTATTTCCTGCATTTAGAATATAGTTAGTACCTAATTGGTGGTGAGGGTGATTAAATATGAACATTGGGAAACCTCAGACCAGAGTAATAGCTTAATTTGTGAAAGTGAAAGAAAATTATAAACCTGTTTGAATTAGGGGAAATTTATGAGTGGTTTGTGGCTAGCAGAAGACATATTAGTGTTTCAACATACTGAAACTTTTAATAGTATGCTAGCTGCCAGAAAATATATGCCACTTCCAGAAGTTATTACCTTAATTTTCAAAGTTAGCATTTTTAGAGAATTAGGCTTAGTGGGTCCTTATCATTCTTTTATTTCTTCTGCTATTTGTGACCATGTTGTATATTAGATTTGTGTAGAGGAGGAGTTAGACTTGAATCTTTTTTTTTAATTTTGAAAAGTGCTTGAAGTAAATTAAATCCTACTGACATTAAATGGAGAAGTTGACCTGTGTGAAAGACATTAATATTTCAGCTGACTTCTGGTGTGGTTCAGCGCACCTAGAAAACAATATCTTGTGCAATAAAAACATGCTAAAAAATTTACTGAATATAGATTGTCTTAGGTCTTTCTCCATATAATTATTTTTTTTCTGTATAGAGTGGTTTGGGAAGGTAAAATATAGAATCTTAGAGTACTTTGACTGAAGCATGTGAGTGAGGAAGTAGAATTGCAAATTATGGTTTGGATTTTCTTGAAATCAATATAACAGAGATTATAATACTTAAAAATAGATACTTGAAACTTGATTCATTTATGTAATGAATAAAACCCAACATCTGCATGTAAAATGTAGTGGTTGTTATCTAAAGAAGAGATTTAGAATTAGTTTTAAAATCCACTGTGTGACAGATATTATTCTAGGAACTTTTACAAATTGTATAATTTGAGGTGAGATAAGCAATGTCTTCATACTTTTAAAATGGGGAATGAAACCAGAACAATATACCTGATAGTTGGCAGAACTTGAATTGGACCCAGGCTTGTCCAATTTCAATAGTAATAATGCTGATGATGATGTTAGTAATAATAGTTAACATTTATTTTAGTGCATTTCCTGTAATATTTAATTTAATCTTTAAAACAATATTACAAAGGAGGTATATCAGATATGTTAGCATTCTGAGACTTATGCTGGTTAAGTAATGTGCCCAAGGTCATACAGTTGGTGCTTGGGATGTAATGCAAATCTATTTGTCAACAAAGTCTATACACTGTAAGTATGCTACCACCCTCTAAACCTATTCCTATTTTATTACACCCACTTGATTCTAGCATGGACCCCAAGAATAGGAACATGTGTACTTTGACAATATCAAATCTATCATACAAATTATATTTCATCATAAACTGGTTATCAACTAAAAATTATCCATTTCATATAGACTAATTATTTTTATCAACTAAAAATTATTCCTATGTTCATATGTCTCTTATTCTGATGAAAATAGTATTTTTGAAATCACTTAATTGCTGAGGAACTCGTACAGATTTTAACTGGTTGGTTTGTCATCTTTGATGATGTTAACAGTATTGAAGGATTTTTAAGTATTTCTGAAGAATCTACTGTATGAATTATAATTGTAGAAACAGTGATAGTAGCAAAAATCGAAGATGAAACCAACTTCTTTTTCCTATGAAATATTTATACTTTAATTCTTTTGTACAACCTTTTTCAGATCATTCTCATCTTGGCTGCTACCGACCCAAGGATTATAAGGTTTGTCTAATACATTGCAGAATGATAATGGTCATTGGTTTCAGATAACAGCATAAGTGTATGCATAGTCAGACAGAGATTATCAAATTCATTTAATAAAATAATGCAAAAATAGTAATTATCATATCATGTAATATTATTTTGGCTACTTTGTCGAGGAGTATACTAGAATTTTCAATTGAATGTCTTCCTACAAGTATTTTGTGGTTTTTGATTATTTGGATTCATTAATTATGTGACCTGTCCTTTGTATATATTTATGTTTGTATGTGTGCATTAGGGAAAGAGAGAGAGATCAGTTGTTACTTGTAGTGATACCTCACCAAGTGGTATTTTCAAACTTCATTCATTTACAAAGCATCCTCATAATTTTTGCAATATCTACATACAGTTTATGCTATTTTGTTTAAGTTTATTTTCTTTTTATTTATTTGTCTATTTACTAATGTGAGTAATGAAAAATCAGTATATCACATGCTTTACATGGATGATAATCCTAAAAATATGGTGAAAACAAAACAATATTACTAAATTTCAGCTAGATACTGTTGTTTGCCAAAGTCTCTGAGGAATGCTTTCCATTTCTTCAAGTGAGACAAGCAGTGATAGAGAGGTGTAAGAGACATACCAATAGCTAACTGAGGATTTTTGATTGAAAGAGAATTGAAAAGATAATACATTTTTTCCTGTGATTCAGTGTTGTTTAGTGTATATCTGTGTGCCTTGTAAAATGATTTCTGTTATCATCTAAAGTCATTTTGGGTACCATATTAAAGTATCTGTCATATTGCTAGTAGTCAATGCCCTCCATTTTGAGCAGCATTTCCTCACAGTTTGTCTTTTCTGTCCCGAAGAAAAAGCTTCTCGATAATAAGTGTTATACTTTGGAAAACCAAACCAAACCAAACCACAGATTTCCTTAAAATACCTTTGTTTATTAACTTGAAAACAATTTATTTTGTGCTTCCTGTTACTGAATGGCACAGTACTTTGCCATGCTTTGACTGTGAAAAAAGAAATATGGAACAGTTAAGTAATGAGTCTAGGCACTGTGTGTGACTGAGTGCCCAAATCAACCAGTGTCAGAATCATCCAGGTAGAACTTTATAAAATTTTATTCCAGACCTGTTAAATTGAAATTGCTGAGAGTGGACCCTGGAATTTTTTATTTTTAATAAGTTTCTTGGTGATCCTTCTGCAGCTCTCTTGTTACCTGTTGAAGGATTCTCATTTGCGAACCACTGGTATGGACTATGAATATATAGCACTTACATAGATAGGGATGTCTCTGTATAGTGTTTGTATTGGGTTGTGCCTTGTTTAAGGCTCTCTCTAGAGGAAACTGGGCCTGGCATGATTCTCCTAGTCCAACCCCACACTATTATGTAGAATATATGCAAACACACACACACAGACAGTATGGCAAGGACCTTATTGACCTTGCTTATTGATAGTTGCTAGTACTTAGCACATTGTCTAATATATAGTGTTGATTCCTAATACATGTGTATTGTGTGAGTGGACTACTAAGAGCAAACAAGTAAACCAAATATATAAAAATAGAGAATGGAGAGAAAAGGCTAAAATTCATAGGATATTAATCTCTATCTAAAGTTAGCTATAATCTAACTGTAAGTTGGCTGGTCCATATGATATATAGATAGGTGCGAATAGTTCTCTTTTCCACATTAATTCTGCCAAGAATTACACATCAGCCCATCTTTAATTTCCTTCCACTTTCACCTGTGTATTCTTTACCTTTAGGGCTTCCTTTGGAGGGCAGTAGGTAGTAAGCTCACAGGATTATTTTTCTATTTAAGAGGTAGATTTGCATAGAAATACATCTGCAGCATTGCACATGAAAAAGCATAAAGGATTATTTTCTTACAGGTATGTATGTAGTAGTTAATAAATATTAAGGTTGTATAACACTTTAGGATTTCTATAAGGAAAACACTTAGGATTTCTGTGAAGTACTCTCAGAAAATTTTTTAGAAAAGTGGGACCTTGTCTGAGTTCTCTGGAGAAATATACTTTGCATAAGTAAGAGAATTTTTCCCAGAGTTCATCACTGTCTTTTCTTTTCTTCCCCAGCTTTATTAAGATATAATTGACAAATAAAAATTATATATATTTATGGTACAACATGATGTTTTATTATAGGTATGTACTACAAAATGATTAAATTAAGCTGATTATCTATTACTTCACATATTTTTTGTGGTGAGAACATTGAAAATCTATCTTAGCAATTTTCAAGTATATAATACATTATATTAACTGTGGTCACCATGCTGTACAATAGATCTCCAGAACTTATTCATCCTGTCTACCTGAAAGTATGTACCCTTTGATGAACATCTCCCCATTCCCTCCAAGCCCCCCACCCCAGCCCCAGGCAACCATCCTACTCTCTGCTTCTTTGAGTTCAACTTTTTTAGATTCCACATATAAGTGAGATCATGCAGTAATTATCTTTTTGTGCCTGACTTACTTCATTTAATATAATGTCCTCCAGGTTCATGGTTGTTCTCAGAAATGATAGGATTTCCTTCCTCTTTAAGGCTGAATAGTATACCATTGTCTGTGTGTGTGTGTGTGTGTGTGTGTGTGTGCACGTGAAGAAGATGCCACATTTTCTTTACCCATTCATCAGTCAATGGACACTTAAGTTGATAATGTATAAGCTCATCACTTTCTTGAAACCCCTTGATATAAACAAATAACAGTCAACACAAAGTACTATTCTTTTTCTCTCAAGCAGTTTCCCTAGAAATGTAAGCTTGAAAGCTACATAGTCTGTCTTCCCAGCTATTGCAGGCTATGGTTTTATTAAATGTTTTGCCACTGGATTACATACATCTTAGATTTTCCATTTGAAAATAGCTGTTCCCTTGCTGTCTGCCTCCAACTGATAAGCCACTGTATATATAGATATCTGTTAGGGCCAGTACATTAAGATACCAATTTCTGAATTGGTTGGAGTAATGCTTTTTGCTATACAAATAAACATTCAAACTTCAGAAGCTTAATATAATAGAAATTTAGTTTTTAATCACATAACAATTAAATTGAGGGTACTTTTGATCTGCTTGCTGTTTTCTCATGTAATGACCCATCTTGTGGCTTTGCCTTACCCTAAGACCTTGGCTGTCCTCTTCACATGGTGGAAGTTGAAGAAGAACAAGGAGAAGGCTTATCTATTTCTAAAAAGCTTGGACCTAGAATTGACATTTAACATTCTTGCCTACATTCTGTTGCTAAGAACTAATCACATTCCCTCAACTAAATGCAATGATTGCTTCTTAGCAACAATTCTGTGGGGAAGGGAAAGCTGAATTGTGGTGGGCAGCTATCCATTTCTGTGTCCCTCCCCACTCCCAACTTCTCTCTTTCCCTTTAAAAAAAGACTGTGTGACTGAAATTATTATGCTGGAAATAAAAATTTAGCAAAATTAGAAATCATCTCTGCCCTCATGGATATTTCATGGTATGGAAAAAGATATTAACAAAATCATAAAAATTCATACATACCTGGAACTGCCATGAATATTATGGAGGACATACATAGTACTTTGACATTAGAGGATTTGACCTGGTCAAGGAGAATGGAAAAGGTATCTTGAGAACCTTGAGCTCTGAAGATGAGTAGAAATTTACTACATGAAAAGGGGAATGAAGAACCTGTGCAAGGGAAGAGGAGAAATAACATGAAAGTTCAGTGGCTAAGCAGCTAAGAAACCAGTGCTTCTAGAAGTGAAGACATGAGTAGGTACATGATATAAATTGAGGCTGGAGAAACAGATAGGGATCAAATCTTTTAGGCCATGTTAGGAATTTTGTAATTATCCTAAGCACAATGGGAAGCCAATTAAATTATTTTAAACGGTCAGATGGCATGGTTAGATTTTGAAAATATCACTCTGGATTGTGGTATGGAAAATAGATTAGACTGGGAAAAGAGTGGATACTGGTAGACATGTTAGTAGACTGTTAAATAGTCAAGGTACGAAATAATGATAGCTTGGATTGGGGTGGTAGTAATGTAGGTTGATAGCAGTAGAGAGCTTAGACAGATATTTAGAATTTTATGTTGGTAGAAAAATAAACTTGATAAATGGAAAAGACGTGTCACATGACAATATTTTGATCACTGATAGACCACACATATGATGGTGGTTCTGTGAGATTATAATACCATATTTTTACTGTACCATTTCTATGTTTAGATACACAAATATTTACCATTGTATTCAGTATAGTAATAGGCTGTACAGGTTTGTAGCCAGGAACAATGGGCTATACCATATTATGCAGGTGTGTAGTAGGCTATACTATCTAGTTTTGTGTAGTACACTCTGTAATGTTCGCACAATGATGAAATCACCTAACTACATTTCTCAGAATGTATCCCTGTTGTTAAATGACACATGAATGTACTATGTTCAAATAGAGAAAGACTTGTAAAGATATTCCGATACCTATAGTAATTTAAAAATTAACAAGATCCCAACAAAAATATCACTAGGCATTTTTTTATTCCAGGAACTAGGCAAAGTAATAGAATACTTTGAAATCAGAGAGCATTGAAAGATGGTTAGCTGTGCAGTAGTAAGAATGATTCTTAGATTTCTGATTTTTGCAACTCAGTGTTTGATGACACCATTTATTGAGATAATAACATGTGTAAGGACTAGTTTGGAGTTCACAGAATTCTAAATTCTTCTGTAAATTCCTGTTTATCTTGTTTAGGCTTTGGAGAATCTCTGATAATGGCTTTCAGTTCAGAAACAAACTGGAGCTTAAAAATCAGTCATATGGCACTTGTTCTATTCTGAAGGGGATTAACTTTTACAAGTTATTGAGCTTTTTTTTCAGGCAGGTCAGATGAGAAGGAAAGCAGGCAGGAAGGAGGATAGGGGCCTGTTGGTAATGGAAGAGCATAGGACAGGAGATAAGGAATAGTGGGATAAATGTTGTTTCTTTCAAGTTGCAATGTG